CCCAAATGTAATCAACTAGGGAATTGGATGGATTCTCAAAAACACCAGAGTAGATAGATAAATTAATAATAATAATAATAATAATTATTATTATTATTATTATTATTATTATTTTGAAGGAAGGAATAGGATGGATTACTTTTTATATAATGACACTCAAGAGGTTCCTTTTAGAACTTGAAGATCTTAATTGATATCTTATTATTTTGGGAAAAAAATGTATAAATATGTGCCCAATAAAGCAGATTAGGATGTACCGACTACAATTTCATCCACTTTTGTTTCTCGCGTCGCATGGAAATACCAACTGTTCATATTATGACTTTATTCACAGTTTTTAATCATACATTAAAAATAAAGAATAGTGAGAGCTATGGAGTTAGATTTTTTTTTTCTTTTTTATGTTAATGACTCAGCTCAAATCAAAGCAGATTAACGGGTGCAGAGCCAAAATCCATACCCGTTAATTACGTGGTGGTTCCTTATTGGGTTTTAGACTTCGGGGTCCACCAACATGCCCAAAAAGTAGTACACCAATCTCGTAATTCCTATCATTTCCGGGGTTGCTTCAGTAATTTAGTCATTCCATGCGGCATCAATGTCATCTCCGCCCTACCCAATCTTTTCTCGTAGCGAAGTTGCGTTGTCGGCGCACTCCTCCTTCTTCTCTTCTTCCGGCGTGGGTTCCCGTCTTACCGTTGCAAAGGTAATTCCGCTTCTTTCTATTCATTTCTTCATCTCGCTGGATCTGATCTCCGTTAGAAAGGGTTTTAAGGATTGGATACGTCAAGCTTTAAGGTTTTTGTCCGTTTCTCTGAATATGGAAGAGTATCTGACCATTCGGAAAGGGTTTAGCCTCCACGGTCTGTTCTGCTGTGGTTCATGCTGATCTTTGTGTTTGGCACTCCACTATGCCTTAACTCTGATCATAAGCTCAATTGTGAACTTTGGTTTTAGGGGGATCCTTTCCTTTAGAGTCACTTTAATGTTTTTCTTTTATGGGAGATCCATGCTGATCTTTGTGTTTGGCACTCCACTATGCCTTAACTCTGATCATAAGCTCAATTGGAAATGCTGAATCTTAGATGGGTTGGGCTGCTTTGTTGTAGAGGTTTAGCTATGTGTTGTTATATAGATGTTACTTTGTTGTATTTTTTGTGTGTAATTGTTCTTTCAAGTAATACTTCTAATAATGATCGTCTTAAATAAGACACTAATCCTACTGTAAGAATGTTAGCATAAATGAGATGACTTTCAAGCTTATGGTGGTTGGGGTTTTGATGGGCTCCTGAACTTGTGTTCTAGGCAACGGTGAAATCGTTCTCCTCTCTTTCGTTGAAAGATAAAATCTGAATATTTTTACAGGAGGTAATCATGGATATTTAAAGACCCAGTGACCCCCTTACCACAAATCTTTTTTCACTTAAGCAAAAGGCCATTGTTCCAAGGGAGGCAATACCGAATGATACCGTTCGGTATAGGCGGTATGTACCGGTCCGACCGTATACCGGTACGCGGACCACCCACTACCGGACAGAACAAAAAATAATAATAAAATAATATATATATTTATTTATATTTATATTTAAATATCTTAGAAAAAGGTGAAGTTCGACGACGTCGCCTTTTTCGGTGACGTTGCCGAGGCGATGCGACGTCGCCTTTTTCGGCGACATCGTCGAGGTGACGTGATGTCGCCTTTTTCGGATTATATATATATATATATGTTTATATATATATGTTTATATATTTATATATTTAAATAAACGAGGCGACGTCGCTCCACATGGGGAAGGAAAAGGCGACGTCGCCG